GGGGGGGGGGGGGGGGGGGGGGGGGGGGGGGGGGGAGGAGGCCATGTGGGTAAAAGCGCCCCTTTTTGGGGAAGGGGCCCATACGTGAATGTAGATTAAGTTCTCAAGGTTTCAGCCCTATAGTTTTTATAGCTCTTGAGATGAAAAATCAGTCGAATTCTCAGTTTTAGCATGAAAATGTCGGTGCTCACTACTGCACCATGCCTACCAGCAAGAAATTGCTACTTTAAATATTTTTTATTTATAGACGCTTGGCGCTTGGTTAACTTTATCAACAATGGCTGCAGCAGCGCTTGGCAATACAATTTCGGACGTTGCCGGGGTTGGCCTCACGCATTATGTTGCCTTCGTTGTGTCGAAATGTGGCATCAAACATCCGGTACTCAATTCCGAGCAGGTGAAATTTCGAACCTATTGGGAGCACTCTTTCGATTGTCCATCATTTAGGGAATGGTGCTTCTTCCTAACTTCAATAATTCTGCTTAGCTGTACATGCAAGACGATCTACTGCTTCCTTGACAGTATCAGCGACTATGTTGGAATTTAAAAAAAATAAATGGCCAGCTCACCGACTGCCGGTGCGAAGATGCGTTTTTGCATAGTTGCCCCTAGATTTTTGTCGCTGGCGGCACTGTTTTTTTCGGACAAATGCTTCTAGCTAAAAGAATTGAGACTGACCGCCAGGACTGTCAGGAAACAACCCTTTAAAACTTCAGCTTCCTAGCTTTTTGGTTCCCGAATTAGCAGTTTACCTGCCGAAAACTTTGGGGGCCTCGACGGGGGAAACTACGTGGGTAAAAGCGTCCATTTTGGGGAAGGGGGCCCGTACGTGAATGTAGAATAAGTTCTTAAGGTTTCAGCCCTGCAGCTTTTATAGCTCTTGAGATGAAAAATCGGTACGGACGCACACACAGACAGCCCCTCGTCATTATACGTTTTCTGCACTGCATAAACGCAAAAAACACCTAAAAATTATAGATGAATTTGCTCATTCCTTCAGTTTTCTTGCCATTTCGATCTGCGTGAAATAATTTTTCTCTGACTAAGACAAATCCTATACGACAATGATTTTGCAGCTTGAATCCTCATTTGCACGAATAGTGATAAATGTTGGACGCGCAGTGGGACTGGTTATTGGATGCCTTATCGGGATGTTCCCTTTGTTGTTTTTCGGTTCTTCGGACGCTGGTCGCATGCCAAAAGAATCCAGCAGTGAAAGCGATAGCTAATTAGTCTGCAAAGGCTGCTGGATACCTCGATTTTGAGAATTAACATTTTACATATGACGAAAAACAAGCGTGAGTATTAGAGGGAGGCATGCTGGATCGAATGGCTTGGTGTAGCTAAGCGTCAACGTGTGGGATCATTCCAATAAA